CTCTACTAAGAGCGAAGTTGACTGGAAGAGCTTCATTTCAGCATAGAGAAGCAAAGTTCATACACAATGCTTCTGTTTACGCTAGAGCAGCGTTTCTCAACCTGTGGGTGCGACCCCTTGGAATCAACCGACCCTTTCCTAGGGGGTCTCACGTCAGATGAGACTCATCATGACATCCTGCGTGTCAGATGTTTACAATGATTTCATGGCTGGGGGGGGGGGTCACCGCAACATGAGGAACTGTACTAAAGGGTCATAGCATTAGGAAGGGTGAGAACCACTGCTGCAGGGAAACAGCTAAGAGTCTCAAAGTGTTAGGGAAAGATACAGGCCAGGCAGCGGGGGTGCAGGCCTTTAATCCCAGCACTCGGAAGGCAGAGGCAGGTGGATCTCTGAGTTTGCAGCCAGCCTGGTCTACAGAGAGGATTCCAGGACAGCCAGGGCTACACAGAGAAGCCCTGTCTCAGAAAGAAAAAGAAAGGAAGAGAAAAGACCCAGAAAGATGAAAAGGGAATTAGGCTTTTCTGGGTTACTCAGTGAGTGGGCCGGCTTCGGAAGCCGGAACCCGGAACACCGCTGACCACATGTTGTCTCTGTGGGGTCTCTAGCAACGCTTCTTGGTATTGCATCTAAGCAACAACTTTCCAGCGTAGAACATGGACTTACGTAGTGGTTTGATTCTGATATATTTGATGAGAGATTTGGACCTTGTGCTATATTAAAACTATAGCACAAGGTAATTAGCTGGTTCATTTATTAAAATTTACCTTATGTCCTTCTAACACAGAAGAAGAAATTTATAAAATGTATTGATCTATGTATATACACACTTGATACATACTGTTTTCAGTCTGATAGTTAAAACCGTTTTTCTGATTTCTATAGAAATGGCAAGATATTCTTAAGGAAGTTAAATTTTTACAACAGTTGAAGCATCCAAACACCATCGAGTACAAAGGTTGTTATTTAAAAGAGCATACTGCTTGGGTAAGTCAGAGAGTCTCTATTTTCTTTTTTCTGTTAATTTCTTAATTATTTATTTGAACTATAAAATTATGAGCCCTGTTTCTGCCCCCTTTGACTTTTGGAATTGCTGATTTAACACTTATCAGTGCTCACCAGCTTGCATTATGGTATGTATTCCCCAAGATGAAATATACCAGTCTTGCCTATTGGAAACATCATTCGGGAAAACATTTAGCAAAGGGATGGGGAAAAGTTAACATCATCTTGTAAAATCAAAAGGTAAATCCTTTTAGTCTCCTAGAATTTTTTTTTTTTTTTGGTTTTTCGAATTTTTAAAGATTTTTGTCACATCTATTTTGTGTGTGCCTGTTTGCCATGTGCACATGTGGAGGTCAGAGGTCAACTTGTGGAGCCGGTCTCTTCCTTCTGCTAAATGTGTTTCAGGGATTGACTCCAAGTCATCAACAGCAAGTGTCTCTACCCACTGAGCCATCTAGCCAGTCTTTTTCCTAGGATTTTTTTTTTAAGATTTATTTTTATTTTGTATGTATGAATGTTTTGCCTGCATCCATGCGAGTGTACCACGTGTGTGCAGTGCCCAGAGAGGTCGGAGGAGGACTTCAGATCCCCTGGAACTGGAGTGATGGATGGTTGTGAGCCACCAGGTGGGCGCTGGGAATTGAACCCGGGTCCTCTGCAAGAGCAGCCAGTGCTCTCAGCTGCTGAGCCGTCTCTCCAGCCCTCATTCTTGAATTTTATCTTTGCCACGTCGACCCTCCTCCCCATTCCATTTGACCAAAACCCGGGCACTTTGCTAGACACTGTCACTGTACGACGTTTACAGAACGACACCACCACTGTGCCGCTGGAGTGGGGTGCCTTTCCTTCCACGTGTTTTTTTTTTTTTTTTAATGTGACGGTCACTGTTCGAAGCTGGCATGTCACATACAAGTTAGAATATGAACATGTTAAACTTTGCAGTTAGTCACATTGGGCATTTTAGCTTAACGTCCGTCTGTGATGGGTTGCTTGTGATGAGCCAAGGCCTTTCTGGACCCTCTTGCCTACAGGAAATGGACAGTCTGTTCCCAAACATTATGTGTAAACATTTCTGCTCAAGGAGTTCATTTGGTGTGTGCATGTACATTTGCGTGTGTGTGTGTGTGTGTGTGTGTGTGTGTGTGTGTGTGTGTGTGTGTATACACATGCATTTCTCTGTGTGAGCATGTGAATGCCACAAGTTGAAAGTCACCTGTCTTCCTCAATTGCTCTCCACATGATTTGTTGAGCCAGGGTCTCTCACTGAACCTGGGTTTTCCCCAGTTGATGGGACGGGCTAGCTAATGGACCCCAGGGCCCCCTGTGTCCACCTCTCCAGCACTGGGACTACAGGCATACACCTCTATACCCCACTTTTACATGGAGGCCGAGCACTGACCCTCGTGATTGCAAGGCAAGCTTTACCCTCTGGACCATCTCTCCAGCCCCTAAGCAGTCCTTCAGTGGTCCAGAACCACGGCTTCATCTCCGAGCAGCTGTCAATCAAAGGAGCATCCTGTCTGGACATCAGCTGCTCTGGGCAAGCTCAGCTGCCTTGGAGGAGTCTGGAGAGATGTCACTCGGGAAGGGTAAATGCTGCACGTTCCAAGTAACCAGGAGTCTTGGCCAAGCCTCAGGAGCTCTTCCTCCAGCCTGTTGACTCGTGGAGTGCTAACCAGCCTGGCTACCTGGTTTCCATCGACAACTAGTTGACCACTGGTTAGAAGGAGCTCGTAGGCACTGAGCAGCGAGAGGCAGGGAGTCAAACAGCACCAAGAGGGACCTGGCCGTGTGGAAGAAGTAGAGCCCGAGACAGGAGCAGAGCTGTCGGGACTCAGTCTGGAGGACTGGGGGACGCGCTGGGAGAGCATGCTCAGGGCCTCGTAACGCACCCTTTTTTCATATTTATTTATTTATTTTTCTATCATCAACTTGATACAGTACAATTTCTTATCCTAATAGTGAAATGTTTTAATGATGCTTGCCCAATAATTGAGTAAAACCAAAACTTATTATAAACCACAGTCATCCTAGGGTCCCCCCTGCTCTGTAGCCTCCCTGGTTCTGTGGGTTGCAGTCTGATTGTTCTTTGCTTTATATCTAGAATCCACTTATGAGTGAGTACATACCATGTTTGTCCTTCTGGGTGTGGGTTACCTCACTCAGGATGGCATTTTCTAGTTCCATCCATTTGCCTGCAAATTTCATGCTGCCATTGTTTTTCTCTGCTGAGTAGTACTCCGTTGTGTAGATGTACCACATTTTCTTTATCCATTCTTCAGTTGACAGGCATCTAGGTAGGTTGTTTCCAGGTTCTGGCTATTACAAATAGTGCTGCCATGAACATAGTTGAGCATGTGTCTTTGTGGTATGATTGAGGTTCCTTGGTTATATGCCCAAGAGTGGTATGGCTGGGTCTTGAGGTAGATCGAGTCCCAATTTTCTGAGAAACCGCCATACTGACTTCCACAGTGGTTGTACAAGTTTGCACTCCCACCCACAGTGGAGGAGTGACACGTAATTCTTAAAGACTAGGAGCACAACCCAACTCCCTCCTGTCCGGTTTCAAAGATGTGCGAGGACCCAGTCAGTGACTCAACCTGTGACTCTTTGACGTCACAGTGGCGCACAACAAACACACAAAGTGGAACATGCAATCTCAGTTTGGCTTTAGCCATTTCCTAGGCTGGCGTGGGTACTGCAGTCCTCCCTGATAGCGCTGGACTGTGTCTCATGACCACAGGGGCCCACAGCCAGCTCTCCACAGAGCATGGTGGCCCCTTATCACCCATGGGGCATATTCCCAGACCCCAGTAGGTATTTAAAGCCATGGATAGTACTGAGCTCTGTACATGCTATGATTTTTTTTTCCTGGCTATACATGCCTATGATAAGGTATAACAAAATTTTGTTTTTGAGGCAGAGCCAAAACTGAGCAACCCTGGATGGTCCAGGACTCACTATGTAGATCAGGCTGGCCTCTAAATCAGAACTGCCTGCCTCTGTCTCCTGAGTGATGGGATTAAAGACGAGTGCCACCACACCCAGCTGGTACCAATTTCTAAATCAGATGTAGATTAACAGCAGTAAGAGCTGAAGCAAAGCCATTGCAGGTGTCTGCTGCAGGGGAATTGCCAGCATCACTACTCTTGTGCTTTTGTCCATTATTGACTAAGATAATTTTTTAGGATTACTTGGACACAGGTTCTATGGTACTGTGACCATGGGTCTGTTGGGTGGATGGTGTACACAGAGTGGACACTCTGTACAGGGGCTGATTCTCATGCAGAGCAGGAAAGAAAGATGTACAACTTAAAACTTGTGAATTGTTGTTTTTCTGGAATCTTTCATTTACTATGTTTGGACCACACTTGACTATGGAAAAATTCAACCAGGATAGGAAAAAATCACACCTTGTGATCACTGTGCTCTCTGTGCTGTGTGGTTAATCTACGCTGTATCACAGATGTGGGGTCTCTGTGCTGTGTGGCTAATCTACACCGTATCACAGATGTGGGGTCTCTGTGCTGTGTGGCTAATCTACGCTGTATCACAGATGTGAAGTCTCTGTGCTGTGTGGCTAATCTACACCGTATCACAGATGTGGAGTCTCTGTGCTGTGTGGCTAATCTACACTGTATCACAGATGTGGGGTCTCTGTGCTGTGTGGCTAATCTACAC